GTTCCTTCAGGCTGGCTCGAAGAAGACTTGAAGAAGACTTGAAGAAGACTTGAAGAAGACTTGAAGAAGACTTGAAGAAGACAGGGCTGACGCCAACATTCAGTGCTAAATTTTAAAACAAAGTTGTCGCACAACGAGTACTGCTCCAAGCGTGTTTTGGATGATGCTCAGCTACTACCACACTGGATTTTAGCTCGCTATCTGTAAAACTGACTGCGTTAGAGTCATTTCTGTGTTTGCTAATATTGATGAGCTGATTTGGGCTGACTTCAAACATTATCCCTGTGACTGGATTAAAACCTGTCAGTCTCCAGGTAAGTTGGTTGATGGGTCAGAAAAAAGAGCACTCAATGGCACTAATCAAAGTCAACTATGAGCAAACAGTAAAGAAAAAACAAGTATTTTATAATGAAAAATTATTTTGTCCAAAGTCACGACACAAACAAAGTGAGCAGAAAGACCTGCAGCTGTTTGCACATCATTTTGGTCCTTTGGAAATCTATTTATGGAAGTATCACCTTTAGATTCCACTAAAAACCATAAAAATCTTACATTTTATGATACATTTTACTCCATAAAGCTGCAGCAGTTATAAAGTGGTCCAGCTTGAATCAGGAAACCACCTTCAGCTGTAACTGAATCTGATTAGTGATGTTAAGAATTTTCTATTCCGAGCTTTGCGATGTGTCAACGCTTTAAAAAGCTTTATAAAAAGACATGGAACCTCGTATTGTACCATGCGGGACCTCTTTAAAACTCCTCGTGGTAGGTTCTGTCAGATCAGGGGGCTCTGCAGCATCTTAAATATGTATTGTATGTTTCGGACTATAAGGCGCCCTCAAAATCTTTTAATTTGATTAAAAATCAACACTGAGCCTCATGTATTAATTCTGGTCGAGTTTACTGACCTCAAACCGATTTTATGTGTTTATTGCGAATGAGCTGAATAATGCACCTTATAATCCGGTGCATCTTATAGTCCAAAAATTACAGTAAAAATAGTTCCTTTGGGGTTTTTGAAACTTTATACATAAAAACATTCCATTCCAAAAGTAAACAGAAACCAAAGAAAACACAATGTAATATTTGAGGACACGTCACTCTTGTGTTTGCACCTTTGGAAGAAATGCAGCGTCACATATGACGTGTGGTGCTGAGAGCAAACTGTCAGGTAAGACGAAAGGAAATGAGCCGCAGACAGAAAAACACAACATCTGGACTGACAGTGTGAACATGACAACATCTGTAGCACCTGAGCACTAGTGTGTTTTTAGATTGAATTTTTATATGAATCTTAATGTTAGAAATGTTAAATAAATAGCATGGCTTCAGTTTCACAATGCTTCTGTTTAAAAATGTTGTGGTTATTATAAGGATTATACATTTTTATCAAACATAATCCTTTGTTGATATTTGAAAAATGTTTATGTACAATAAGTTTTTGTTTTTGGAAATTTTTTGTTTGTTTGTTTTTATGAACATATAGGCACATAAAAATGCTCATGTTTAAAAATTGCTATATTTAGGAGCATATCGAGGTCAAGGTGTCTATTGTCATTCACATCACATGTGGTACATGAGGTGGAACGAAACTATGTACACGGGGTCCCAGTTACATCAAACAAAAACACAAGTTAACAGTAATAAGATCTAAGATATGAACTAAGAAATACACTAAACTAAGAATCTACTAAGCACTAATAGTACAAAACAATGCGCCAAAACAACAGCAGCACGAACATATGTTGTACTTTTTAAATACTATTATGAACCATTAGGAGAAAAACTGGCACAATAAGTCCAGTTTTCCTTCGAAGATCTGGACTGCTTCTCTCCAAGCAGATCTGTCCGTGAGCTTCTCAACATGTTCTCGTGATGACGAAAGGAAATCTCTTAATCACACAGACATGCATCTTTCAGAAGGAATTGCTGCTCCACGTGTCCACCATCCTTGCCAGAGGGAGGGGAGATGAGAGGAAGAAGAGCCCGGACCCAGTGTCAGCTCAGTGAAGCAGAGAAGGAGGCAAACATGCGCTGACGTGGAACACTTCGCTGGTAAAGACGCGCAAACACGTTGCATGCTGCATACACACCCAGACTAATTCAAATTATCGCATTTATTCTAAATTCATGCAATTTTTACCCTCGTAAACAAACATACCAGACCCAGATGCCTTACTTTACATACAGCATGGGAGGCTGACATAAACACGGATGCACTGAAGTGTGTGTTTCTGTCTCCACAGCACAAAATACAAACTCTGTAGCATTTAGGATTTCTAAAAATATCCTAAGCAGACGAGCAGAATACATCCATGGACACACAGACGGCACAGAAACCGTGGTGGAGATGAGGACGCAGCAGAGCTGGCTGCCGGGGGGAGTCAGCAGAAGGTGAGCAGAGATAAGGCTGCATGATTGTGACTGTGTGTCAGAAAGAATCTGCACACCACAACAGTGCAGCGTGCCCTCGCACACACCCTGTACACAAAAACACACACACATCTTTTTATATGCACTCTGCATCCCCCGCAGCAGTGTACCGAAACAGGAAATTTAGACACAGGACTTGAGAGCACGACAAAGTTTTGGCTTTATTATTCTAGAGAATATGATCAAGTTTGTTGCAGGGCTGCTAATCTGCTGCATCTCAACACTCTCGCAGAACAAATCAACGTCAACCAGGCAGAAACTGAAGCCAATCAATCAAACACTGATCAAACCCTGTGATCAAACCCTCTGCACGTCTTCTGTCAAAAGCTGCACTGAAACAAATGCAACTAGATAAACTGCATTTTCTGTATAAATGCTGCATGAACACTGAGCTGGGCTCCTGCTGAAGTTCACTGAAGAAGCTGAAACTGAATGGTGAAGGCTAAAAGAAGCAAAACACTAGCTTAAAGCTGAAAAGATGAAAATTAGCTAAAAGCAGCAAAGGGCTAGCTACAACTTAGGTAGCAACAATCTCTAGATAAAAGCTAAAGGGGCCAAAAAAAAACCAAGAGCAAATATTAACATAAGGCTAGCTAGAAGCTAAAAGATCTTTCATAATGAGTTTAGTTTATTTTGGACATTCTGAAATACTCGAGAACAGTTAATTAAAGTCAGACAGTAAATCTGGGTTAAAATAATGTGTTGTACAACTTTGCTATATGCAATACATCAGACGTGCCCTCACTTTTTCAGCATGCGAGCAACTTTTAAAATGACCAAGTCGAAGTGATCTACCTACGTTTACACGAGAACAACCCCTAATAAACAAAAAAATGAGCGGGTTTACACAAAAAAACACTGTATTGAGTTTCCATGTCAGTCGTGTTGCCAGATAAGAAGTTATGAACTATAGTACTGTCGCTGTAAAATGATAGTACTTTGACCTAAACTGTCATATGTGCCGAGTCTTTACTGAGCACATATGACATATGCTATTCTAAGATGAGGTGTGTGTTGTGTTTGTTGAACATGTGCACAGAAAAAGAGGGGGTAAATAAGACATTTAAAATTTATTTGGCAACCCTGAGCTGCATTCATTGCACATGCAGCATCTGCATGATCACAGTTAAGCTGGTGAACACACTAACGTCTCTTTGGAGCCTGGATTCTATTAGTTTTGCTCCTTCATGCTGAAAAAGGGTGAGTAGCACAAAAACACTCTGCTCTCTGCCGTTTATTATAACTGTTGTTAGTGCAGAAAAACTTTGGACTGCAGTCGCCTGTAGTGCACATGTGCTACTTCACACTTGCAGAGCATTTCACACCGCTATAGGGGGTTCCCCCAAAAATCTTCTCCCTGAAACCTGGATTCAGAAACCTTCGGTTTCAGAGAGAACGAGGGCTGTTGTCGTACAAATGAACGAACGTTTCACGTCGTGTAAACGGGGCCTCAGACCGGCTGCCCTGTCTGTCAATCAAGTGACAAATTTCACATGTGGATGGATACGCTGGCTATTTTTTAACATCATGCCATCCACCCATACTACCTTTGCGATCGACGTATTGGGCACCCCTGCAATACATGAGAAGATAATGATTTTATTTTATTTAGGCACTTTGCAAAAAACCTTTGAATCATATGCCTTCTACAAAATGTCCCCTGACGACATTCAGAGCATTGCTGCCTCAACAAATTATTTTCAGCACCTGATATTCCCTCACCGGCCTTTCAATAGATTCATTAATTCACCTACTCTAAGAAACATTTCAAACCTGTTTATATAAAATGCCTCTTTCAGATGCTGATAGATAAATGAGGCAGAGTTTGTAAAGAAACACTTAATGAAGCACACGAGCACTTTTATTCAACACAAATGATCTATCACAACTTTTGACCATTTCTCAGGTGCCAATAAACAACGAGAAACTTTCTTAGGGAAACTTTTGTTCCAGAAGCCTCGGATATCACCGACATAAATAACTCGACCAAAAGGGAAACGAGTAATCTTGTACAGCTGTGACCTTTTTCTAAACAAATTGTGGTCATAAACTTCTTGTGCATCAGTTTCCAAATGACTCTTAATGTCCTTTTTATTATAAGAGAAGCATTTGTGAACGAATGGCCTGCATGTTTCACTTAAATGTTTTAAATTAACTTTTTGACAGTGGTATTTTGTGAGAGTCTTTTTTAGCAGGGCAGAGAAGAAAACAAGGTGTAGCAAGGGCAAACGGAACAGAAGAACCAATTACCTGCAGCAGACCTCTTTGACTAATCTGTGATAAGAATGAATTCAATAAAATAAAAAGACGTCCAACTTCAGCTCCAGAAACACGACCACAACGTGCACTTAATTTGTTTCTCACTTGCTGATGTTGCTTTGCTCCACCTGCCTGTTGGTGTTCCCTCAGCCCTCCGTCTGAACACATGGACCAGTGACACAGCTGGGGTGTGTGTTGGGCTTTCTTTTAATCTGCCTGACCCTAATGAGCTACGAAACCCAGAACTGAACTGAGCGTTCTGCATTTTGCAACAAAGAAGCAGCAACCATGAATCACCACTGCCCTACCTGTGCTGTTTGGCATTTTGCCGTGGCTGATCTTTTTCAGCCTCTTCTGGTGGGATTTGCCGTTGTAGTGGATCTGGGCCTGCGCGGATGAGTTGAGTTGGATGTTGCAGACCTCACACACCGTGTAGGTCCTCTGCTTCCTTTCTCTTTTGGGTCTGTGGAGTGAAGAATGCAGGGCGCCCCCTGGTGACTGGCCCTCTGGTTCTGGGCTGTCCTGGATGTTGCAGTATGACTCCATGTCCATTTCATCCAACGGCCCTGTTCCAACACCAATGGGCTCCAGCTCAGGATTTGGCACAAACAATTGGCTGAAAGGGCGTTTCATACCTATGACAGAAGAAGACAGTAGGTTAGAGAAGATCATAAATACAAAAGAAAGGACAAAACATGTTTTGTTTTTTTATGTGGCCCCTGCGTTTTGTGGAATCCAGTGTGATCAGAGATACTTTAGCTCTGGTATCATAAACATAGAAGCATCCTTTTCTCTCCATCTTAGGCTCTTCAAGCACACAAATCCACCCTTGTAAAATGATATCTGAGGACACAGAGCCAAAGATACTCTTCATTCCTGCTGCTTTTGTCAAGACGTGTCTGAAATCTGACCCCACTCTTGTCTCATATAAGTCATGCCCTTTGCAAAAACAGATAAACTAGTTCTTTATGCATCAGCAAATGCTGCATGACAAGACCAATAAGAACAATTTATTGCACAGACACTAATAAATCAAAGTGGTGGTAGTCATAGCGTGCAATCGGGCTCCACTTGGGGGAGACAGAGTGCTGCAGCGAGGCTCTCAGAGGAACACGGGGCCCCTTGTGCCAACTCCATGATGTCTGTTGACTGTGTGCACACCTCTGCAAACCAAACAAAATACTAATAATCTGCAGCAGGGTGCCTCCATTAATATGGAGAACATTAGTCAAGCAGGGAGAGGATGGAGCTTCTAAATCAATCTGGAAATTAATATTTAAAAGTAAATATGATTTGATTTTAAGAAAATGAATGAAAAGCTTGGAGTAAAGGCAAATAAACGATGTTCTGTAAAGTGGCAGCTCTTCGAGTACAAACTAAAAGAATTGTTTGTTTCATGAGCTGCTATTTCTACACAAATGGGCAAAACAGTGGGTCTACAGTAGCGCCGCAAAAGATTGAGAACCACCTTTTTTTTTTTAATACACTCAACCATGCACTTCTGCTGCTGGCTTTCTGCCTCTGTCAATTTATCTACTTTTAACCCCTAACAGCTAGGGCATGCACAAACAGAAGAAAGCAGAGCCTGTGTTGCAAACGGTTTATACCCACACACATTAAAAATAAAAACTTAACACACACAAATGTGAAAACACCCACACCCACACACAAATCACCTAGTGCTCAAAAACACATCAGGCTGCATGAAAGCTGCAATTCACGTTGCCAATCTGGGAGCACTCAAGAGTCTCCATCGGATGTTTTCTCAAAAGCTTTGAGTAATGCTGCTCTGACCAAACGTTAAAAAAACCCTCTCCGTAGTCTGCAAGTGCCGCAGCCTCCTCATTCTCCATCCACACAACTCTGCTAGCTGCAGCAATTTAGCATGATTGTGAAAACAAAACCCAAAATGAAGACCTGAAAAGTGGAAAAACCCACCACAGCGTTCCTCTATCCTTCATGACAGCTCTTATAACCACAAGACTGTTCTTTACAGTAAACAAAATAATGTTTAATGTTCACAGAAGCACTTGGAGTATATGTTGTGAATCGTTTTAGCTGCAACTGCACAAACATCGTCTGTTTTATTGTCTGATTTTACCAACTGTTGGTTGGTTTTCAACCTATCTGTCAGGTCGGAGCCAATGTGTTCGACATAACAGTACTTCATCTAGCTACCTAACATTCACTAATGGTGTTCCACAAGGCTCAGTTTTAGGACCCGCTTTTTTTTTTTTTCCAAATTAAGAAGTATATAAGTACTGTAGGTCCTTAAACTGAGCCTTGTGGAACACCATTAGAGACCATTAGATAGATAGATGAAGTACCTAACAGTCACTAATGGTGTTCCGCATGGCTCGGTTTTAGGACCTACAGTTTTTTTTACTTTCGGCTGCTCCCTTCATCAGGGGTCGCCACAGCAAACTAAGTCGCACGAAGACTTGGCAATTATTTTTATGCCGAATGCCCTTCCTGACGCAATCACAGATTACCGAGCTACCACAGCCCTCTGCGTGGAGCAGAGAGCTGCTATCTGTCTGTCTAAAGCAGATCTCTCTTGTAAATGAGTCCTTGTGACTCAGTGAGACTTACCTGTATAAATAAAGGTTGAATGAAAATCATATAGCACATTACCAGGGTTTTCTAAGGTCAGTTGGCTGTAGCAGCCATCTTGAAATGAAATTATCCCAAAAGTTGAATGTTCATTCAACCTTTATTTATACAGGTTAATCCCATTGAGCCTCGGGGACTCATTTACAATAGAGACCTGATTTATTTAATAAAGAGTGATGACAATAGTGGGTAACGACAACAATAGTACATTTAATGATTAATTTCTGCTTGTTAAATTAAAGTTTTTCCACTTTTTAGAAAAAGTTAGAGTCACAGAGAGGAGTTTGTGCTGTTCAAACAGAAGTTTACTTCCTCTTTCTGGTAATAAGTTGCATGATTTTGTGTACTTCATCTTTAGATGAGCACGATGCTGTTGAATGTTTTCATTAAGAGGAGAAACTGAACGTGTCTTCTTTGAACCTGGTTCTTGGCTGTCCCGCTCTTTAGTGACAGAGCTCTGTGTCAGCAGACTACTTTTATGTACAAAAGCTGTGAATCCACCTGTTGGATGGAGGCTCACCAGGACCAAAAGGCTTCTGCTGCTTTTATCTGTGAGTTTGTGTGAGGATGTCTGCTCCATTTGACTTACGGAGACTTTAAAGACTTTTCCAGCTCGATGTAGAAGCTGTGTGAGACAAGAACCCCTGCTGTGTCCACAAACAGACTTCTGTAGGCTGAGACAGGACAGGAGATTGTCAGCGGGTGGGAAGAGGACCATGGGGGTAAGAGTAGGAAGAAAGAGACTCTTCTCTTGTCGCGTCTGCTGTTTTCACTTTCTGATACACCCCCACGCTGCAATGCCTCCTCCCTCAGCATATGGGAAACATCAATCAGTGCGGTGATGTTGCTGAAAGACCGGGGCGCACCCAGCATAGCAGCTCAGCAATAAAAACTATTTATGATCTTTTGTCTGTAGCTCACATATAAAATACTGCAACACTTCCACAGCTTAAGGCGGCTCTAACCATCAGCCCACCTTTGAGACACCCCCACCCCCTATTCACTGTGGTCACAGTGGGCACGGGCGTTGGCTCTTCATAGCTCGACCCTCAGAAAGACTAATGTAAACACTGCAGGAATGTTAGCAGCTTCGAAATCCATCCGATGAGAGGAAAACCTGCAGGTGAAGATAAATGTATTTGTATCCTTTTACAATCATAAGCCCTCCTAGGTCTTTCTCCACGGAGCCCATTATGATTTAAAATGTGAAAAATGTTGTGATCAGACAGTGATGTACTTTGAACTTGGAGTTCAGCTTGAATGGGTTTGGATTTTTTTATATATATATTTTAATTTAACCAGACAAATCCCACTGAGATCACAGATCTGTTTTGCAAGGAAGGCCTGGGCCTGCAGGCCGCTTAACGTGCAGGTTTTGGGACTTAGGTTCTCTTTCTACCTTTCACACGATCCATTGGCTTAAGCTGGGGTTGCAATTCCTCTTGCATCTGCATCCTGGGAGGTTGTCTACAGTCGCATGAACCTTGCACTTTTTAAAATTATTGGCAGCTTTGATCAGGGGAACATGAAGTTGCTTAGGGATTATCTTGTCGTCTCTACATTTGACATGGATTTCTATAATTTTCTGTGTGAGCTGCGACAGCTCTCACCTTTGCTTTCTCTACTCCATGTTCAGTGCTCACAGTGATACCAAACTACCCAGTGGTGTTTGTTGCCTTTAAACTGGCTGAATGGCTGATGGAAGCCTTCAAGGAATATGTGATGCTAATTAAGGTCAAACACTTATTACTTTGAAACATGACCATGAAGCAAAGATCATTAGCTTCTTTAAGTGTACCAACAAACAAACCAGTCCATACTATTTAACATAATCTTATAAAACAAAACAAATCTTTTATCATCACAATTTTTATTCATTCTATCACATACTAAAGACATCCATATATATATATTAGACAAGTGCTTTTAACTGAATCACTTCTTGTGAGAAATGAAGCACTGGTTCAATGTTCTGTGAAGGTACCAAGAACTGTATCCATGCAAACCAGACACAGATCACACAACAGCATCCAGCACTAACCCCCGCAGGTGAAAACACATGCGCACACATACACGCACGCCGCACCATCCGAGATTGGCCTTGAATTTTGCAAACAAACGACAGCAGTTCAGCAAATATGTGCAAACAGCAAACAAAATAAAAAAATCATGGTTGACTTAAACAAATAATCTACTGATCGAGCCACAAAAACTTAAAATAAAAAATAAAATAAAGTCAAGAAAAGTAGTAAATCTGTAAAACATTATGAGTACATATGGGGAAAATCAATTTTTTTGACAATCAGACAAAGCTTCAGGGTTCAGGTTAGGGTAGACAGATATTGAATGGACTAAAGATTTTATATAATCGTCATCATCAAAATGATATTACTGTCATCACTGCAGCTACAGAACGGGCCAGAGGTCTTTGAAATCCAGTGTCTTGGTGTCCAGTACATCGGTGCTGATTTTGTAAAGTCCAGGCTGATGTCCCAGCGCAGTGCTTATTGGAAAAGAAGCTCTTCGGCTGTGGATGCTGGTTCAAGAGTAGAAGGCAAGTGCAGATCTTATCACCCCCGGACCGGGTTTGAGAGTAAATAAAGAGCAGTGGCAGATAAATTGATGTGTTCTCTCTAATCTCTGTTTGTGGTTCTGCTTTGGCAGTGCACGGGGTATGCAGTTGTTGTTTGTGAAAAAGAATGAGCAGAATGTTAGCTTTAGTTTCTGTGCATCGCTGTGTCCTAGCTTAACGAAATAATATCTGAATTGCAGAGAGGAGCTGGTGAACAGCGACTTCTGATACCGGCTGATAAAGACTGCAGGTCTCAGTCTACCCCCGTTTCCTGCATTACTCAGGAACTACAGTGTCTACTATTATAACTAACTTTATTTTTGTGTATTAAATTATTATGCTCTACAGTATGGTTATGTACTTTATGTCATTGTTTAATAATGGGCATAATTCATTCAACCTTTATTTATACAGATTAGTCTCATTGAGCCTCGGGGACTCATTTACA